ATATATACTGTATATATATATACTGTATATATATATACAACACTACTTAATTTTCTTTTATTCTGTAATAACTTACTTTTACTTTTTCATAATAGTCAAACAACTTGTAACTTGTAACATTAATTTTACTCACTATCACTCAGAAGTAATCTACAGGTTCAAAATAAAACTTAATTCTGATGTAAAGCTAAAAATTAGAGACATAAATGAGTGGTTTAACTAAATTACCATTCAGAAACTAGTTAAAAGAAAAGTGTGATGCAGAATATTTTGAGAACTTCTGTGGAAACTGAAATGGAACATATTCATGCAGCACCAGTGATGGCTCCACAGGACATTCTAGCAACAGTGTAGCTGATTTATCAAAGTTTCACGTGTCTAAAAACATGTGCAAACTTGATAGCGCACAAAGCTGATTTATTAACGGTGCAGCGAGGACTGCATCTGTCAGATGAGCAAATTAGCAGACACAATCCATTCAGTGTGTTTGTCTTAATAAATATACAGAATATGATGATTATCAGAACGTTTATAGTGGGAGGAGGATATGCAGATATAATCACGTAACACCTCAGTGTGGTCTATCAAACCTGAAACTGATTGCTCTCGCTTTGTTTGTCTTGTATTTATATTGTTGCAAAGCAGGTGCAAACTGGTCCAGCATTACGAACAAATGTCTGTGATCAGTGTAGCAGAAGGAGGCAGAGGTAGTAACAGATGATGGAGAGAGAGAATGTTCTGTGTGTGCGTCAACATGTTTGGACTGTCAGAAATAAAAATTGTAGAAACATATTGTCTTTCAGCAGTCAGTTTTGAGCTGCTGGAAGGCCTGAGTGCTGATCTGGATTCATTACTCCTATGTGGTTTGACCGACAAATTATTTTAAGATTGTTTAAAAATTTTGTTTTAATTTCTTGTCAAATTTCTTTACTTCTTCAGCTGAGTCAATTATGTGGAATTAAAAGCAAAACAGCAGCTTATGATTAGCTGTAGAAATAACTCTTTTTAATGAGAGAAATATTCAATCTACAAATGACCAGATTTTGTTCAAACAAAAAAGAGAAACTTGAAGATTCAAGTATAATTTTTTTTGTGCCAGTAAGAATAAAATGTCAGCTTTTTTCAGTTTTCAACATAGATCCTGATTTGATCCGTGAAGGTGGAACCATCCCCATAGCCAGAACCTTCCAGGATGTGACGGGGAAAAGCATCATCATGCTGCCCATCGGAGGCTTCGATGATGGACTACACTCTCAGAATGAGAAAATGAGCAGGTTTAACCTTTTACTTCTGATTTTTTTAATTAAATTGACTCTATCGAGATGATCTTGTTGAAAGCTTCAGAGCAGTCGTCTCTTGTTAAAGTTGCTCCTCTGAAAAAGAAAGTGAAAGTTTGGGTTCATTTAGAGTTGCTTACAAAGGCGTCTAGAAAAATGGTGCCAATTTATTTATATATTGCATCAATTTATATATGCACTAATATGTATTAATATAATATACAAGGAAGCCCATTGTAAAGACAGAACTAAATATTTTTTATTAACTAACTTCATTACAAAATCAACATAACTAATCTCACACACAGGAAATAAAAAAAACTGTTTCTTATTCTCTTAATTGCTGAAATAAATTAAGACATTGAATAGAATAAAATACAAATAAAATACAGCCTCTCAAAAAGAAAAAAAATTGTATAGGTCYTCTGGACGGGTTCTTCTCTAATGAAACGTTTCGTCTCT